TAAATAACTCAAAGGCCAACCTGAAACTTCACACCCAAGCACATCTGCATTCTCCCTAATCTCTCCCTCCTCCATATTCACACCCACTAAATAAACTTATTTAGTTCAAAATTTTTGAATTATTTTCCTTAAACAGCTCGGCCTTCTTTTGGGACGAAGGCCTATCTCCCAAAACCCCTTCCAGATCCGACTCTTCCCCTTCCCTAAAGTGTTCCCCTTGTTCTTTCTTGTCCCCTCCCACTAAGGCTTTGCCATGTAAGCAACCTTCATCCATGTCACCTTCTTCTTCCTCCTTCAAACATTCTCTCCACAGCGCTTCTGTCAAGACCCAGATCTTCCTCTAGAGACCCTCCGAGAAGCAAGTGACCACCTGTGGAACCTCCTCCGGCTTCAGCCCTCGGATTTTCACCTTGATCTCCATCAGGTCCCTGAGAGTATAGTCCACCATTGCACCACCCATCGTGTGGACTAATTTTCCAACGAAAGATTTGTTCCAGAGGTTGAATGGCACACCAAGGAGCTTGATACCAAAACAAGCAACAGTAATGTCTCGCTCATTACAAGACATACACCATTCTTCAACAACTATCAGACCTTCCTTCGTTTCAACAGCAGAGAGTTCTATCTTCGCCCCCCCTGTGTCGAGAATGGCTCTGTTTTCACAAAAAAGGTATCACAAGAACGGGATCTCTGATGCTAAATTTATTCCTTATCTCCTCTGCAACTAGCTGCCAATCCGCGACCTTCCTCCCAGCTATCAACACGAATTTTTTCCTCCAATCCTGCCTGTCCACTTCGAACTCCATTTTGCTCGATTTAACAGAGCACGCAAAGTATTCCTCCACTACCTTCTGAGTTTTCTGCTCTCCCTTTTCAATCTGAACTCTCTCTCCCACCCCCACCTCTGCTTTCTTAGTTAAGGATTTTTGTTGAACCTTCTCATCCCTCTCCATCACTACCAGATATTCCTGCAACTTATCTGCAAAACCCTTCCACCCTGTCTTCCTATTTCCTTCCGGAATACACATGTACTTCATGTTACTTTTCCCAAAACTCTACGAACCACCCCTTTTTATTGTTTCTCAGCTCCGCTACATAGTTTTTTCTTCCCCTATTCATCAGCCCTTTCCATCCGACTTGTTTCATGCTATACGTAACTGCATCCACGAAACCTTTCAGCCAAAACACTGCATCCCTGCAAAGAAAAATGATGGTCTTCTTCTCTTCTCTGATCTTCAAGCACTCCTGTCCCTTGTTTCTGCAAGCTTCAAACATGTACTTTTTAGCTTCAACCTCCAGCCTTCTTCTCCATGTAGTCGCCGACCTGAACTCAATGGCTGCTGTTCAAGTAAGAACTTCTTCAGAGAAGCATGCTGTCTCGATACTAGAGGTGATCATTTGGAAGAGACAAGATCTCCTGAAAGAAAAAATCGTGTGAATACGCCAAGAGCACGGCATCCAGACACATCAGGGACATATTCCAATGAGTTACACATAAAAATACGGAAGATCCAATGTGCAGCCAGATGCTGTGCTCTTAGGGTGTTAGCATAATTCTTGCTTTCGGGAGACCTGGGCTCAAAGTAGTGATTCTTCTCAAAAGTAGGACTTCATTGGAAACAGCCACATCCCCCTTCCTTGGTCATTTTGGGAGACTCAGCAAATATCTTCAGACGGAGTAGAAGAATCGGTAGTGGGCCATGGAGCACTGTAAACTATCCCAATAAGATCAAAGACCACTTTGTAATTTACTTGCCAATTCATTAGATTCCCATGCAGAACTCAGTTTCAGTTGACTATGACAGATCAAGTGTGGGATGGGTATTTTTGTGTAGCAATAGATCTATGCCTTTTTTCTCTCTGTTTTTTCTCTTTCTGTTGAGGATAGAAAGCATTATGTTATTTATTTCTATAGCACAGTGATCATCTTTTTTACTCATTTACCAAAATACTAATTATCTTTAAAAAGGAAAGAAAATGAAGATCAATGGTAAGTTTTTCTGTTTAAAAAAAAAACATGCTAAAATCCAGCCAGAAAAGCTTATGAATTAAAAAGGGTAGGGAAGTTAGGATGGATTTAAAATCTAGACCTAGAAGAAACCTATAATTTTGTGGACTGGTCCTTTCTAGTGAAGAAACAATGGATAGGTGTTCTTTTGGGATTGGATGGAAACAATGGATTCTTGAATGTATTTAATTTGGTCATCGGACTTCTTTGTATTCAATTTTGTTCTCTTTAACAAAACTACTTATTCATTCATCAAAAAAAGAAACGGTCATTATTCTTAGCCAATTGAGTTGTGAAGGATCTCTTCCCATCAAAAAGGGGTATTAAAGAAAGAAATCTCTTAATTCCTTTTGTTTCCACTCTAGTGGCTGAGGTTTCTAGTACACCCCTTACTGGGACTAACAGCTAGACTGGGTAAGGAGTGGAGAGTGGGCAGAGAAAATGTGGTGATCACCCATTTGCAGTTTGCAAGGAATCAGGATATTTGGGAAATCAGGATAATTTTCTAAAAACGTGGAACTAGTTAATAAACTTTCAATGAATTGTTATAGTTGCAAATTTAAGGCTCAAAAAACCATAGCAAACAACTATATAAATCAAATAATAGAAGATTAAGAGACTTGAATAGATATCTTTCCTTTGCAGTTGTACTTCTTTCTTTTCCTTTTGAATTATAGTGATTTAGTAAATGAATTATATCAAAATAGTAAGCCAATCATCCAATCACTGAATGCCCTTTGTACACTTGAATGATATATATAAAGTTGAAAAAAAAAATTATAGTGATTTAGTAAGCCAATCAGCCAATCACTGGATCAATAACAAAAGGCTTTTCGTTAACAGAATTAAGGATTTAATACATGAAAGGGGAGATAGACTTTCTTAACTCTCCCATCCAATAAGTCCACCCAACAGGTGAGAAAAAACAATCACAATTACAATTGAGCCCAGAAAAAAGAAACCCTATTCACCCCTTGTTACACATTTTCTACTAAGGTGGGAAAAAACCCACCTTGGTAAAAACAACATTGTATCTACTAATCTCCTACGCATTTCCTTCCAGTATTTGGGATTACCTCTTCCTGGTGACATTCAAAACAATGTTTTTCAATCCAAGGAAAAGGCGGGAAATTTTCTTTGAAGATGTACTACAGCCACACTTTGGTCACTTATGGAAGGAAAAAGGTAATAGAACTTTCAATGAAAAAAGGAGATCATTGAGACTATCTTGAGTCAGGAAGTAAATTGAGTTAAGACATTGGAGATTTTTTAACCGTTCTCCAAAGACTATCTTGAGAGGATGGAAATGTGTGGCACGCTCCTCATTTTCCAGGCCACAAGAATTAACGGATTGGAAGCCACCACCTATAAACCCAATCAAACTTGATTTTGATGGGTGCAGCTTTGGAACCCTGGGACCCTTGGGTGTTGAGGGAGCCATCAAAGACACTTAGGTTCCTGCTTAGCACTAAAGTCAGGCCTATTTGGAGAGGGAGATCCCACTAGAGCTGAAATGCAGACTGTCAATATAAACGTGGAAGGAGAAGCCAAGACTGTTATAGGATGACAAAAAACAAACTCCAAGGGAACATGGCAGCACAGGCACACTCTAAGACAAGCTAAACAACTGGCCACAGAATTGAGGGTGCCAAGGCCGTGGAAACATAGAGAACCACACACTATGGCTGATTCACTTGCAAGGCAGAGAGTGAATAGGGACAACTTGTATTAGGGGACAAAAATGTAATTATTGGTCTATTTCCAAACAGAAGAGGGGTTAGGCAGCACTTCTGCTAGCCAGACTAATCAGTTCTACACACTTCAAAAATAATGCTCTTTGCCAAATGATTAAGTAAAATGTAGTCCTCATACTGAATGCAGCTTGATATTATTGGGGTAAGTCCTTAGCTCTTTAACCAAACAGTTGAAAAATGGAAGTTTCCATATTGTTCAAGTACAGGAATTTTGCATGTGTGTGTCTTGTATGACTTTCACTCATACGTCTGTCCAAGTGTTTCTCCATACTGGACAATAAGATAATCCCCACATTAAAAGGTAGTCCACATCAGATCAAGAGGGAAACTTAACTATGAACAAAAAACTGAGTAACCTTGACAAAGGTCTCTGTTTCTTGTTCACAGTTAAGTTTCCTTCTAATATGACATGGACCACCCTTTGATGTGGGATCATCTCATTGGTAATATGAGCAAACACTCGTAGCTGAATTCATCTCAGTAGGGGGTGGGAATGATACCTACTTGTTGGAAGAATGAGCTTGTGAACTCTATACAAGACTCCCCCTACCCCACCCCAAAATTTTATAGAGATGTCTATTTCATCAGAACAAAACAACCATCATTGGACTCTTATAGTCTTACTCCTTTTATGGTCATCCGAATCAAATATGAAAACAGTGTTTTGGAATGATCTTTGTGAATAAAGATTCTCTTATGCCTTTGCTTCTGATAGTGGATTTTATTGAACTCACATTCATCTATATGTAATTCCATGATGGTGAACCAATTCAGTTTGGCCTTGATCAAGCAAAAACTTCCTTTTGGATATTCACCTTATCTAATTCTTATATTGCCCATGCTCCTAAATAAAATCCAATATTCTAAAGAGTGCATATTAAAAAACAAAAAATGCATATAAAAAACAATTGTTGCAAATCCATATAAAAACATTGGGAGGGCCATCCTACCCAATAGAAACAACTTGTAATGTACAAAAGAAATCAAAAAGAAAACTAACCAAATAAAGCTCCTATGACTGTTCAAAGTTTCATTAAGATTAATTGTATATCTACAAAGTGAGTACAGTGGACAGTTTTTCCCCCATCTCATGTTTAATTTCCAGCAGGATTACAAAATAAGCACTATATTGAATTAAACTAGACTACCACTAAGCTTAACAAAAAATGGCTTTTATCTGTGCATCTCAAGTGACTTTATTATAGGACACAAAACATGAGATTAGGAAGTAGTAAAACCTTCTGATGTGCACACCAGGGATGAAATTGGACAGAACAATTCACAACCCTGCAATTAATACATGAACCTCCTGGCCGCTTACACATTGAACAAACCTGGGAAAGAATTAAGAACAGTTCAAGAGCATTAGGTATATCATGATTACAATACCAATGCTAAGGCAGAGTACAAAAGAAGACTTTTCATTGACTATAATATACCATAGCTAAGGTCCTACCAAAACTGATACCATAGCTAAGACAGAGCATTAGCTGGTTAAATCATGAAACTCTGATTTTAACCAGCTACATACCATGCAGAAAATGCAGCATAGCTAACTTCATGTAGAGAAAAAGAGAAAACTATGTTAAGTTATTCTGTTAAGTAACACAAGGATCTGAATTACCAAACAAGATAACTACCAGAAAATAAATGTCTGCTCAATATATTTTACCATGCAAGCCTTCCTTTTTCCTTTTTCTTTTTTTACTTTTGCTTTCTAATTGCAAATAGGAAGTTTTTGGCATTTACCACATTTTTCCCAGGGCGTGAGGCACCAGATACATCAAAGGCACTCATGGTGTCAACATTTGGGCATCGTGTTCCTGGGGTCCAGAGTCCGCAAACCATATGTACCCACTGTGTAACACTCAGATCATATACTCCTGCAGTTATGGTGTTTTGTACTTGGAAATTATTTGGGGAACCACTTGAAACCCCAACATTTGCATGATTCTTTAGATCCCTTTTCAAAACAGCTGCTGGAAGTTGTTTGTTCTCTACAGGCCTCGTAACAGGAATTGAATCAGTTTCACGTCCAGAATCTGAAGCACCTGATGCATTAGACTCATCTGGCAACATTCTGGACAGGGGCATAGATCCCTTAGTCTTGGAGTCCCTTATGATGTTCCAAGCTTTCAGAAGACTTTTCACAATATTGCAGCTTCTAAGTGCTCGAGTCATGGCCCCTCCTTCATATCCACAGAGAACACAAACCTGCTTGGAACCAAGCCCAGAAGATTAAGAGCCTTAATCAACCACAAGAGAAAAGAAAAAGGATCGAAGGAAAAATGCAGACTAGCTGGGAAATTACCATAATGCCCTTCTGCATACTAAACAACTAACTACAAATGTCAATTAACTGATTTTTAATCAATTTTTCAAGAAAAAACATTTTTTGATAAGCAAATCAGAAAAAAAAAATTATTACTTGAAACCCTAAAAAGATCCTTTTTGTAGCAAAACAAATATTGTTATTAAAAGAAAAAAGAAGATTACGAGAAAGATGACAAGAGGTAACCCAAGAGAAGAAAAAAATGACTCTTCACCCAAGCAAAACCAACTCCATCACTCCACATCTCAACCCAAATAAAACCCTTCAAAACACAAAATCACCAAACCAAGAGAAAGACTTAGCACACCTACCAGGCCTAGAAAACCAACAGTTCAGAACACCAGAATCTAAACTTTCACCCTGAGATCACTCGACAAACCACCTAACCACCCAAATTTCAACCTCACTAACCCCCACGCCTAGGGTTGACAACTATATAGATGTGACATCATCTGGATGCCATGATAGCATTACTAACAAGTAATTGATCATGTTTTCTTTCTCTTCCTTTGATCAGAAACCACTCTGAAGTCAAGCTGGAAATAATATTCTGTCCATATCATAAATCATAAAGAACCAATCAGTGTTTTAAAAAGCACTGGAGATGTTCGCCCGGAGGCATGCCTCCAAGCGAGGTGCTGAGAAAATGCCTAGATGTGCAACCTAGAAGCGTACAGACACTTGAAGCAGGCATAAACTTCTGGCCTAGAGGTGTATGAGGCATATGCTTCCATTACACTTCATACAAGAGTCTTACGCCTCTTATGCTTTTGTATTTAGCCACTTTTTATAATAAAATGCTATAGATAAAAGTGGGGTGACCATTATATTAACATAATCCAGAGGGCGGCTCCAAATTTGTTTATTATAGTATTATCAGAATGTCATTGAAAGAATTGAAGCCCCCACACCCCGCTGGGGGGCACATAAAACTATCACAGCATATATGAACCCCAGACCCCAAAAACTAATCATATCGCACCATATATGAACCCAACCACATAAGACCATAACAAAAACACGTAAAACATCTATAGAACACTTATACTTCTTTGTGCTTAGGGATGTCAATGGACTGGGTTTGGGTTGGACCCTATCCAAATCAAAATCAATTTGAACGGATTGGACAGACCAATAAGACATTGAAATGGACAAGTTCAAAGTTAATGGTCCAAAGTATTTATTGGATTCGATCAGACCTGCTCCATTTGTAATGGATTTATACTGGACCAGGTCGGATTTAACCAATATCTGGTCCATTGACAAAAGATAAGAGTATGGGTGTCAATGGACTAGGTTTGGGTTGGACCCAATCTAAATTAAAACCAATCTGAACAGTTTGGACAGTCCATACAATGAATTGGACCAGTGCAGAATGGTCCAAAGTATTCACCAGATTGGATTGCACCACGTCCATATGTAATGGACTCATAGTGGACAGGATCATATTGGAATTTTTTTTTTTTTATAAATGAATAAGATTTTATTAACCAGCAAATAAGAGTTACATGCAACCCATGGAAAGGCACAAAATGCGACCTTTCCTTTAAAACTAGTTACAGAATTATAAGTACAAAAGAAATTACACAGAAGCCCAAAACAAAGTATCCCGAAGAACCCCTTGTTTTGCAAGTGAATCAGCCATTGAGTTTGCTGATCTGCATATCCACTGAACTCTGATTGTCACATTCCTTGTTAACCATTTAACCTTTTTGAAAAGATCTCTAAAACCCCAAATCACAGTGTCTGGATCCTTCAGCCAACCCACTACCACCTGGGAATCCCCTTCAATAATCAGATGCTCTATGCCTATCTGATTTGCAAGCTGGATTCCTTGTACAGCAGCAAGTAATTCGGCCCTTAAAGAGTCTCCCACACTGGGTAAAGGGATGTATTAGTGGCAGATGCTTGGCTGTTGTGGCTTTGGAGATAGATGGTGCAACTGGGTAAAGGGATGTATTAGTTCCTGCCATTATTCAGTCTTGGTCAATGGGATGGTCAGAGATTTTTTCCCAGCCTGTAGAGGCCTTAGACAAGGTGGCCCACTATCCCTGTTTCTTTTCACCTTAGTGGCAGATGCTTTCAGTAGATTAATCTCTAAGGCAGATAGGAAAGAGGAGGTGAGTGGTTGGAGGATAGGAAGGAACAATGTCCGGGTAACCCATCTACAATTTGCGGATGATATCATAATATTTTGTGAAGGGGGTGACAGGCAAAAAGTGAGGAACCTTAGAGCATTGTTACAACAGTTTGAGAAGGCTTCCAATTTGAAGATAAACATGGATAAGAGTTGTGTGGCAGGAGTCAATATGGATGAGGAGAGTATTCTGTCTGTGCCAGATTGTCTAGGTTGTCCTGTCTCTTCGTGGCCCTTGCAGTACCTAGGTCTCCCTCTAGGGGCTAACCCAAAAGAGAGTAGTTTTTGGAACCCAGTTTTGGAAAAGTTTGAGAAAAGATTAGTTGCTTGGAAAAGGAATTATATCCCTATAGGGGGGAGAGTGACTTTATTGAGAGCCACCCTAGCGAACCTACCGATATATTTCTTATCTGTTTTTAGGATTCCTAATAGGGAGGCTAAGAAGTTGGAGAGATTAATGAGAAATTTTCTTTGGGAGGCAGGGGAGGAAAAAAAATATCATTTAATTAGTTGGGAAATAGTATGTAGGAGCAAAGAGGAAGGTGGACTGGGGTTAGGAAGGTTAACTCTCAAGAATAAAGCCCTCTTAGGAAAATGGTTGTGGAGATGGCCTAGAGAAAGGGAGAGGTTGTGGCATGAAGTGATAGCGAGTATACATGGCAGACTGGAAAATGGATGGGATGCGGGTGTATCACGGCAAGCAACGTTAGCATCTCCTTGGAAAGCAATCCAGAGTATCCTCCCTCAATTTCTCAACCTTGTCAGGTATGATGTCAACTCTGGTAACTTGTTTTATTCTGGGAAGACACTTTGGGTGGGTTCTGTTGCTTTAAAGGACCAATTCCCGTCCCTTTATTCTATTTCCCTTTACAAGGAAAAAGTTGTCTCTCATTTTCTCCCTTCTCCTTTTTCACCCTCGTCCTTAAGTTGGGACCTTGGCTTTCGGAGAGGGTTGAGGGACGATGAACTTAACAATGTTTCAGACCTGTTGTCTCTGCTTGGCAATGTATTTCCCTTTACAAGGAAAAAGTTGTCTCTCATTTTCTCCCTTCTCCTTTTTCACCCTCTTCCTTAAGTTGGGACCTTGGCTTTCGGAGAGGGTTGAGAGACGATGAACTTAACAATGTTTCAGACCTGTTGTCTCTGCTTGGCAATGTCTTTTTGGACCCTCTTAGTGTGGATGTGAGATTATGGTCCCCTCATCCAAAAGGTTACTTTTCTTGTGCTTCCTTTTTCAAGGCTCTTTGCTCTTCCTTGAGTCAATGGGGTTTTCCAACTAAGGAGATTTGATCTAGACCTGTTCCACCTAAAGTTGTTATTTTCTGCTGGGAGGTGTTTTATAGAAAGATTAATACCTTGGATTTCTTGCAGAGGAAAAGGCCTTTCATGTATTTATCCCCTAACTGGTGTGTACTTTGCAGGGCTAGTGGTGAGGATTGCTTCCACCTACTTGTATCTTGTTCCTTTTCTAGAGCTATTTGGAGTTGGATTTTCTCTTTATTTGGGTGTAGGTGGAATCTGTCCACAGACTTAAGYCAACTGTTCGATCCCTCCTTTTTTGTGTGGCCTACAAAAAAAGGAAAATTGATGTGGAGATGTATTAGAGCAGCTGCATTGTGGACAATTTGGGAAGAAAGGAACGCAAGGATTTTCAAAGAAAAAGAAAGAAGCATTCAGGCCGTTGAGGATTGTATATTGACTAG